AGTGGTGGCACTACCAAGTGCAACTGTTTTGTATTCTATTAAGTATGGATTTAATCTCTGACAGAGAAAAGCATCCTATTAGTTTGATTGGCAGAGAATTCCAGTCTTGTAAAAATTTAGATTAATGGATTTTTTTTATCTATACTTTACTTGTGGAGAAAGAGAGTATTGAGGACTTCTGGAGACATGCTGACTTGCCCAAAAGTAAAGGGAGTAATTTACAGACAGAGACAACTGAGGATTTCAGTCTTTACATTACAGTGCATTTGCTTACACTTAAATTATATCCTTTAAAATATTACATCAACTTATGTTACACTGACAGTCATGAATTCCTGAGGCAATAGAATATATAATGTTTTAAGTCAACTTCTGAAACCAGGGCACTGTAAGCATAGCCATAAATGTTGGGTTTTGCCTATTTATTTTTGTTGGCAGATTTCTCACTTCCCTTAAAAACCTCTCTCACGCAGTGTAGGGTCAGATCCCAGCCCCACATCTTCACATCTTCTTGTAGGCACCTCCAGGGGCTCAGTCCTGACATGGCTAGAAGAGTCCTACTGGAGATGTTGCCTGTGTGAAGGAGTGAAGGCTGCAGACATTGGTTTGAATCAAGACTTCAATATTACTCAAAATGTTCTAAAAAGTAATTGTGTTTATGATATTTTTAAATATCATATTGAATCTTCCTAGATATTAAAATTATGTCAGAGTAGAAATACAGGATAAAACTACTGTATGTAAATGATTCTCAAAATGTAGGATAAGTGGAAATTAGAGCATCTCTTGATGTAATGGCTGGATGCAAATACCTGTCAAAATAAATACTAGCTGTATGAGCTACTGGATGCTTAATGAGTTGATAACAGAAGAATGAAATACCTTTTATTATCTTAATTTTTTCCATAGTACTCAATGGCATATTTTGCTGGCTCAGGTAACAGTAATTGTTGAAAAACGCCTTTGATAATACTGTATAAATTAAAGCGTGAGAGTTCACACATTTTTATTTATTTATTTTTTATCATTACTCTGTTTCCTTTCTAGTGGCTGTTGAGGAACTGGGGGTTTTTATCAATTTTTGAGAACTTACACTTTCCAAATCAAAGTAAAATAAGCTATGTATCTGGCATATGCCATGAGCCATGTGTCCTTTGGCAATATGACTAAATATGACTTCTTTGGCATGGCTGTCTAAATAGATTAGAGTAGTTGAGAGCAGGGTAGTTTGATGGATGGATGGGTATCCTTATGCTTCCTTTGATGAGGCCTTCTACGCATCAAATGCTGAATGACTTTATAATGTGTGCTATCAGAGCTGGGCAAGAGAGTGGTGACAGAACAGCCAGTGTGTGTGTGTGTGTGTGTGGATACACTCACTGTAAAGTTGTTTTGGATACCCTGGATCATATTTTGCTTTTTTAATCCATGTGTGTAATTGAAGAGACCAGAGATGTGGCTGGAATTCCTCTCAGTAACTGTCTCTATGCCTTAGGCTTTTTGTCGCACTCGTAACAGAGACATGTGAGACAAAGTCATTTCATTCTGCAAAGTCATTTCATTCTGCTTTCCTGTTTCACCCATTATGTCCTTGTTTAATTGTCATGCTGAGTAAACGTGTGGCTGAGTTTCGCCTGACTTATGTTAAAATCACCGAGTTTTAGTTTTGCCCAATTTTAATCCAAGATTGTAAACCAGTTCAGACTCAGTCAAAACTTGATTCTGTCCACTTGGGAAGCTCATGAATTTTGGGCAGAACTAATCTGTCATTATTCCATAATGTTACAGAAATCCTGAATGCTTATAATACTCATGTTTCACTTTTACTGCTGGTAAAGTTTATGTAAAAGAGCTTGTGATATTCTCTAGTATTTTCGCAGTATTCTCAGTAGATTGGTTTGCATACATGAGCTTTTCCATTTTCATATAGTAATGTAATTAGGTTGTCATGTGGATATTTTAACGCATTTGTATTTCTGTGTGTGCCCCGATATAAGGTATTTTTTGTTGTTAAACATTTCTTTGCTAAACATGCATAATGAAATGCTACTGATTCTTCTGCTTCAGTATTGGCCTTTGTAGCATAAGGGGAAAATAAGAGTTAAGATAATTGATGGAAATTTTATTTTCTTGATTAGATTCCTCCCTAGAAGATTTTGTTTCCTCAGGAGCTATATACGAATGCTGTGGACTTTAATGTTGCCATTGACTAGCTCTCCTACCTTCTTGCTACCTGCCAAACTACAGAGCAAACATAAAAAAATGGTTTATGTTTAAGCTCTTTTATAGGTACCATTAATTGTTGAGGCCCATGACACTGTACCAGAAAGAAAAAAAATGAAATTATCATTCCTTTCTTTCTGATTTTAAAAAATAAATAAAAATTGATTAACTGTATAACTTAAATTCAAGGTGCATAAAATATGTTGTTTGTCGTTATCATATGCACGTACAAAGTAAGTAGTGAAAGACTGGAAATGATAAAAAATATTTTCTTTTATACAGTATGTCTTACCTTTTTAGTGCTAGATAGCCGATTACAAAATATTGTTGCCTCCAAATCTAGCTTCTGCTAGATTAAAAAAAGAAAGTTTAAAAATTCAAATATATAGAAAAGAAAAACTAGAAGTAAATAAGTGGATGTAAAAAACCACACAAGCAGCGAATAGTGTCAGAAAAAGGGATAGTTAAGAATTCATGGGCTTGTGTATAAAATTAGATTCTGGGTCAGTGCAAGTCAAGAGAATTTAGTCTCAATAAAATCATAGATGCAACCGAAATGACAAGACTTGGAGTAAATGGTTTGTATCCCATGTCATCACATTTTGTTGCCTTAGTGTAAAGGCCAGGAAGGCCTGTGTTGTGTAACGACAAAGAGAGAAAAACAGCGAGCCTTTTAGGTGTAGAACTCCTCCAGGAAAGGACTGCCTGTAAAGTAATGAGAAAAGTTAATTTCTATGAGAGAAGGTCATTTGGATATCTCCACCTTTGCTTTACCAGCAGTTTTTCTTCATGCAATCATGTCTGTAAACCGAAATGGATGGAGCAATATGCAGAAAGTGATATCCTTTTACAAAAGGCTTTGACTGACTTCCAGATGCCACTGCCAATACAAGTCACAATCAAAATGACCCTGTAGTTAACGGTAGGAAATTTTCACAGAAAGGGGCCCTGAAGCAAATGGGTATTTCAGCCAGTAAGTCTGATGTTTGGATCTGTCTGTATCAAGTGCTCCTGTGCTTTTGGCACGTGCATTCATGTCTGAGGAACTACACTGCTTTACTGAAAATAGTAAGAGAATATAAGAAGTAGGAAAAGCAGCGTGGTGCGGTATGGATGATAAACCGGTCTGGCTGGCTTGGAAAGCGTGGGGAAAATGAGAGTGAGACCTAGTGTGCAGGGTCTGGATCAGGAGCTTGTGGGGTTAACATGGTCTGTGCTGGATCCAGGTGCAACAGTGCACAGACTTTGATGCTAAGGAAGATTTCTTTCTTCTGTATAGGCTTCAGCAAAAAGACACGTGAATGCCAAATTCAGAAGTTGCGTGATTTCTTGCTGTAGAGAAGCAGCGTGCTGAGGACTTGTACGTAAGACGGATGAGGCAGGTGTGCCTCCTCTTCGGCATGTGTTGCTGCTTTGTGTGGCTGTGCTTGCCCTGTCCAGGACAAGGCTTTTAGAAGCACAGAACCACTGCCCCTGTGAAGGGAAGAGTCATAATAAGTAAGAGAAAAGTTACTTGGGCTAGAGTTATCTCCATGCTGATAGAGATTTTTGAAAACTGGCTTGGGTTTATCCGCACTCGATAAGAGAGCGCAGGGAGGTCAAATCCCATTGCTGGAGCCTGGTGGACCGTGTGCTGGGCTCCCAGCCTTGCTGGTTTGTTCTGCGTCATTTCATTAAGGATCATTGCACCTGCTACTAATTGCAATGTAGGTTATTAATAATGAAAGAGTTCAAAATCTAATTTGGTTCTTTTGCATCTGTCTGCTAAAACAGTGGCTATAGATTAATCAGGTTGCTGAATTGATTTGTGAGCTATTTATTCTCCTCACTTATGACCTGTTTTAAAAATCTTTTCTGTTTAAAAGTACCTACATTGCGTGTTGATCTGTGTGTGGTTAAAAATAAGACAACTGAGCTGTTCATAGGCAGATTGCAGTTGACTTTACCTTCAGGGTCTTGCTCCTTTTTATTTATAAACATGGTAAAAGTTGTGCAGGTGCAGAAGACAAGAAACAGTAGAAACAAAACCATGCCAGCACTGAGTTCAAGACGTGAAGTAAAAGACAAATAAAGTTGGTGATTGGTACATAGCTTGCTACTTCCCCATATGTTTGATAGTTGGATTAAAGATAAAAAGGAGTAGTTTTGTGTGGTACTTGCAAACAAGGATTTTTTAGGAGTGATTCGGATTACTTGAGCGGTTCTCCAGCGTGCTGCAGTGTCTACAGTTGAGACCTGGCAGGGCAGGGTTCTTTGTTTAAAACAACTTCAAAATCCCACTCAGACAGCATTGTTTTATGCCTACTATAGTTACTAGTAACAGTTAAGAATAATTGAATGTCAGTAAGGGAAGGTGCTTTTCTCTCTCTATATATATATATTCCCCCGCCCTTGCCCTGGTTTTATTTACTTTCTGCATTTGACAGGAGTTTGTGTCTTCTCAGTTGCAGTGTTTCCCCTGTACAGTCAGTCTGTTTCCTTGTTGTTTATGTGGGTATTTCACACCACATCAAGAGAAGAAATGTTTAAAAATGAGGAAAGGCAATTTTTATTCCACGAAAAAACCTCAATCACAAATGGGGGAGAAGCAAAGTCTGGGGCAAGTGTGGTAACTGTTGCTGCATTTAATTTATTAAAAATGCATTTAATTCATTAAAAAGAAATGAAACAAATTGCAAGTTGACAGTGTTGGATTTGAAAAGCCTGTGAAAGTAAATTTACCTAATAGTGCTATATGGTAACCGCCAATGACTAAATAATGTTTCATTCTCTTTTAGGATCAGAGTCACCCACAGGTTTCCCAATATCGCCAAGATCACTCTCTGATTATGAGATCTATTGTCCACATGACTGATGCTGCTCATTCGGGAATTATGCCTCCCTCTCAGCTAACCACCATTAACCAGTCTCAGCTAAGTGCGCAGCTGGGGCTAAATTTAGGAGGCACCAATTTGCCACACACTTCTCCCTCCCCTCCTGCAAGTAAATCAGCCACTCCTTCCCCATCCAGCTCTATAAATGAAGAAGATGGAGATGAATCCAATCGAGTAAGTTATCCCATGTGCTGTAGTAAGCTTTACATGTCTGTATGCTGTGTTTTCATGAATGTGATGGTATCATCTCAGCTGCAATGTGATCATATAAAATAGAAATGTTGCAGTATGGTGGAATAAGATTCACTTGCTGTTTAGCTTCTTTACTTAAGAAGTTTCCATAAAACATCCTTAATAAATGTAAGAATTATATGCACATATATATATGTGTATCTATCTATCCATCTATCTATGTGTGTGTATATCTATATCTAATCTATATCAATATCTAATCTATATCTAAAAAATTGGTCCAGGTGATCTGATTTAGTTCCAGTATAGCTGAGACTAAATACTGTTTGGCAGGAGGAAGGCTTTCACAGCAGGATGCTCCAAAATGTTGCCTACATAGTAGCTTTGTCCAGATATTATTAGTAATATGTGAATAATTTTTCAGAATTAGTCTGACACGTTTCGTACTTGTATTGACTGTTTCTTAGGCCACTGGAGAAAAAAGGGCTGCCCCGGATTCTGGCAAGAAGCCCAAGACTCCAAAGAAGAAGAAAAAGAAAGATCCCAACGAGCCACAGAAGCCAGTGTCAGCATATGCCCTTTTCTTCAGGGATACGCAAGCTGCAATTAAAGGGCAGAACCCAAATGCTACATTTGGAGAGGTTTCAAAAATAGTGGCATCTATGTGGGACAGTTTAGGAGAAGAACAAAAACAGGTAAAAAAAAGATGCCGGGTTATCTCGCAAGAACTAAACTAGCACCCCTTGTAAAACATCCTCCTGCCTCTGCTCTGAGTGGACCACACCACTTGCTGATGTAGACCTCTTACTCTGTAGAGCTATGCTGATTTGTGAACTTGCCAAGGAGCTGGCATCCAAAAAGCATTCTGTTAAAGGAGCTAGTAGATAGAATTAAATGGCTGTATTTGACTTGAAATTTTAAAGGACAGTTTGTAAAAAAGCTCAGGTGATATTGTCCTAGAGTCCTGTTAGGACCATCTTTTGATGATTCCTATTTCAAAGCTCTCATTTCCTATTAATAAGAAGTTAGAAAAGGGGAAAGTACAGCACTTTTACCGTTTTTCTTTGATCTGCCTTATGAATTTGTTACAAAGCGTGTTGATTTCCAACCTTTGAAGCCAATCCTCTGTGCCTCATTACCAGTGTCGTGTGTGAAATGTTATCTCCAAGTCAAACTTGGTACGAAATGTTTTGTTCTTCCTTGACGGTTATTCTTCTTTCTATACACATGTAACTCCTACACACCAAATGAAGGGGAAAAAAAAAGATAAATCCTTTGGGGCTGTTTGCCTCAGTGCAGCTCCCAGTAACAGTTACTGGAAGCTGTGATGAAAGAGTAGATTCCTGTATAGGACACCTATAAATGATACTCGTTTGTGAAATGCATTTGGAAACTTTAGTCTGGTCTAACAGATGAGGGCCAACATGATTTAAAGCTGAACTTTAAATTTACTGATGATTAATGATAGAGATTAATTCATTTTTGCCTAACTGTTCTTGCTTAAGTCAGTGGGGTTCTTTCATTGTGACTCTGGGGAAAGTGAATTGTTCAGGCTTTATGAACCATGTTTTCCAAATGTGTAAAGGTAATTTTTTTATTTATATACATAGTTCAAATATTTGGTTAAAACAAATATTACATAGGCATTTTTGTCCATTTTATATTACTGTAGGTACTTTTTAGCATCTGAAATACTCAGTGTTTTAATATTCCTGTTACTTTGAGTCATTAAAATTTCATTTTTTGGGAAGGTAAAGTGTTCATAGATAGTCTTGTCAACCAGCTGGCTGCACTAGCAGGTTTTGTTTTTTACAATAAATCACATAAACTGTTGTACATGTCCAGCAAGTGGACCTGAAAGTCTGTAACAATCTGCAAGAATTTAGATCTTTAAGGGAAGAAGCAGCACACCTAACAGTAGAGTGTTTTCAGGTTTTTTGGACTGTGTTTTTTGTTTCTTTGCAAGTGATTTGGTGGGCGTCCTGGCAAAAATGTCTTAATTGAAGTTGGTGTAATTGTGGTCTCTTCTAATAGGTATATAAAAGAAAAACTGAAGCTGCCAAAAAAGAATATCTCAAGGCGCTTGCTGCCTATAGAGCAAGCCTTGTTTCTAAGGTAAGCCTGATAAAGCCTTCCGTGGGATGCAAGGTAGCTTTTGGCAATGGTGTTTCAATATTGGGGGTGGGATGTGGTATTAGGCAGGATGAAAGTAGAATCTGGGTGTATTTGTAATACAGCTCTACACGATGCTGTGCTGCTGCTTGCACCCTGCTTAGTCTCTGCAAAAAAAAAATTTAATCTGTCTAATGGCCCAGTAATGATTCCCAAACAGTAACCTCATAAATGTATACCATCCTTTATCTGTGGAGGCAAAATAATGGACTTCACTACAAAAGTAAAATTCAGTCAGTAAAAATATACTGACCTTTTGACATTAACATTTGCAAGCTATTTGCAGAGTTTTGTGTTTCTTCAAGTGCTGCTTCTTGAAAGACAGACTTGCTTTGCTTGGATCTGGAGAACAGTTACTGTATGACAAAGCTTAAATATTTCTTGCAGGTGAGGGGAAAAATTGTGTTGTGGCTCTGGATTTGGAGACTACTTACAAATGGACTAGCTGGCAGTGAGCCACATGGAGTATTTTAGCAGATCCCATGTTAAAATAAAACTTGCGAATAAAAGAAAATTCTGCTGTCTTATTTGAGACTTTACCTTGCTAACCAGTTGCAGTACACTCGTCCTGGATCCATTGCATCTGAATACCATAAATAAAAACATGATTATGGGCATCTGAAATATGGGTGAAAATGAATCAAGGTAGTTATTTCTCTAACCATATTTCATAAAGATCGATTACAAAAATATCCTTGATCACAACAAAGCAACGGAAGAAAGTGATATATAACTCCTGAAAATACTTATCTGCAGAGCCTTAATAAATCACACAGAAAGTTGCTGTGTATTTAAATTAATGATAAAAAATACAACAGCAGAAATTATACATAAGAGTTCTTGAAAGCTAGAAGTTTTCTTCCCCTTGTCTTGAGAAGCTGTATTTCTCTGTTATCTCTAGGACTTACATAATATTTTCAAAGCCTTTAATATCACAATGCTAAGTTCAGTGGCAGCTGGAAGTCTAAATACCCTTGAAGGAATTTATTTTGTCAGTCCTAAGTTCCCTTTTCAAAAACATCAGAAATCGTATTTTCTCCCAAAATCCATGGGGCACAGGTTGCTGAGTAATTTGTGGGGAGACAGTGAGTGGAAATGGCTCTCTAAGCCCAACATCCATCTCATCTCCTCTGACTTAAGGTGTTTGCTGTAGTTTTTTCATCTGAGGTGGTTGCTGAAAGTAGGGGTGGAATAAACACTTCTGCAGCACAATTTGACATATTCTAAGGTAAATGTCTAAAACAAGTCAGTTAATTGTGCTCTGTTGTCTTTACATAGGGGCTCTAGGCAACTACTCTGCATGTCGTGTACCATTGCAGATGTGTAAAACTATGAAAGATGAATCCTGTCTTTTGTTCTTAAGTGCATCTCATTTAAGCATAAGCAGTATTTTTTAATATACCTAATAAAACTATACCTTCAAAGGCACCAGGACACCTCATTTCTTGCAGTTGGCCTCTTTGGACTGTAGTTTTCCCACAGGTGTGTCTCCTCAGAAACCTCCAGGACGCTGGAAGTAAGCAGGGCTCCTTAGCAGGGCACTCCTTCCAGTGTATCCAGTTGGGTGCCTTCACAGTGTTCCCTTAGACTTTTGTCTGTCAGACGTACCAAGTTCTTGAAGCCTTAGATTTGTAGAACTACAGCAAGCCAATTAAAAAAGTTGTCTGAGGAATTTTACTGTTTGTATGCTACTGTTACGCAGTGATAACTGATGCGGGAGGATAGCCTCTGCTTAGATGTGTCTCCCGAAGAGCAGGGGATTTTTGAAAACATATAAATAGAGAAATTGTTGGACCCTTTTTAGCTCTTTCAGCCATGAAATGTACATGACATCTGTTAATTTCTGGTGTTGAACAAAGGCATGGGCCAGTGTTTTGTCCAAATAAGAGTTGGAGGTACCGTTTACAGGGACAGATGAAGAGGTGATGTATGGGATCAGTGGGTCAGACTGCTGATTGATCTTTTCTGATAGAAAACAAAAGATTAACATGTCTCCCTGAGTAGCTGTGACTTTACTGTAAACAGTAACAATGGTTTTTTTCAGTTAAAAATACAATGAATTTATTTTCTGAACAACAGGCTGCTGCAGAATCTGCTGAGGCCCAGACAATTCGCTCTGTTCAGCAAACGCTGGCATCCACAAATTTGTCTTCCTCCCTTATTCTGAATACTTCTCTTTCTCAACATGGGACAGTATCAGCATCTCCTCAAACGCTTCAGCCGTCCCTTCCCAGAGCAATTGCTCCAAAACCTTTATCCATGAGACTGCCGATGAATCAGATTGTAGCTTCTGTTACCGTTGCACCAAACATGCCAACAAACATTGCAGCTCCATTGATAAGCTCCATGGGAACAAACATGGTGGCCGCGCCATCTCCATCTCAAGTCAGCCCCTCCATGCAAAGCCAGCAGCACCAGATGCAGCAGCTCCAGCAGCAGCAGATGCAGCAGATGCAACAGCAACAGCTACATCAGCATCAAATGCATCAGCAAATACAGCAGCAAATGCAACAGCAGCATTTTCAGCACCACATGCAACAACATTTGCAGCAGCAGCAGCATCTCCAGCAGCAAATCAATCAGCAGCAAATGCAGCAGCAGCTGCAACACATACAGCTTCAGCAAATGCAGCACATGCAGCACCAGTCACAGCCTTCTCCTCAGCAGCACTCTCCGGTAGCCTCTCAGATCACTTCTCCCATCCCTGCCATGGGGAGCCCTCAGCCAGCACCTCAGCAGCACCAGTCACAAATACAGTCTCAGACACAGACTCAAGTACTGTCACAGGTCAGTATTTTCTGAAGATAAATGATCTTGCACCATGGCTTTGTGTTGATGGAGGGGGTAGGAGTAAACCATATTTGGCTGAAAACTGTAAATTGTTGATGGTAGTTATGCAGGGATGCATAACAGATCAAATGATCCTCTAAAGTGTCTATTAGATAGGCAATAAAGAACTACAATGTAGCTGTGTATCATCTTTTAGCTGACTATAAATCATTTTGTTTTTTTTAAAAAAAAGAAAAAAAAAAGCTGTGCTCTTTTTCATGTGATGCCTTTTTAATTTATTTAAGCTTTACCTACAATATGTGAATCAAATGGCCTAATAAATACTTGGACCTTATGACTACAAAATGGCCTTTCGGAGTTATATGATATAACCCTTCATAATGCACTTCAAGGCAGTATGAACTCATGAAGCTCTTAAAGCACAGTTGTAACTACCTGTAAAATGATGATTGGATTTCATACAATCATACTTGTATGACATGAATTAGTTGATGGCATTTTTTGTCATGAAAAAATAGAGTAAATCACAGATTTTTGCCAAAGCTCTTAATTTTTTTCTCTCCTAAATGTCTTCAGAAAAACAAATGCAAGTAACTGAACTGAAACGTTTGAACCAACCTTTCACTTCATGTCTCCAAATAGACCTACCATAGTTTGTAAGAAAATATATATTGACATTTACGCTCTTACGTTAATTCCAATTACAGAACAAATGTGAATATTATATTCTGTGTCAAAGTGATGAGTTTCAGATTTAATACACTGTATTTTTAAAAGGGAAATGCACTTAAATAAAACTGTTATTACAGAAAGCTAAGATGAAAAATGCAAGAGTTTTTAATACGCTGTAAAACCAGTAGAATATTTAATTGAAACTCCACAACCGAATAATCAGTGTAAATATTTTCTTTAAAAGTTGTAAGTTTTCATATCATGTGTTGTAAAGTTTTCATAAATGAGGCTTTAATGTAAACACTGGTAACATGAATTATTAATTGCTACATTGCTTATTGTGTTTTTATGCTGTTTTATACTTTTTTATGAGTTACGATAGCAGCAATTAAGTTGTTTGTATTTTGCTTATCTAAAATAAATGCTTTTATCTTGCTATAGAATAAACACATTTCAGTAAAACTGATGGGCCATAAGTCTTTGATGGAAAAAACCAGGAATGTTTCTTTGTGCAAACGCTGTCTCGGAAAACTTACTTAACGTTTTGGATTTTTATCAACCATCCTGGGCAGACAGGTACCAATCAGAACCGAGAGCTCTTGCATCCGTCAAACCACGCTGCTGCAGAATCGCCAACAACTTCTCTGAGATTTCTTCCTCTTCAGAGAGAGAAAACAGGTGGTGGCGTTACAAAGCGCTCGTGGTACCTGTGTTACATTTATCTGCGGGAAGGGTGTAGTGAACCTGGCTCTGAGCAAGTGTTCAGAGATGCCAGTGAGCACAAAATGCGTCTTTGTGTCTTTGAGTTTCAGATGTAAACACGACTCCTGCCGTGGGCTTCCCCTCTGTGAGCCCCCAGCTCCGGCTCGGGCTGATCCTCGGTTGTCTGACGTTGGTTTTGTCAGAGGCAGGACATGGTAGAGGAGGATGGAGAGGGCGGGTATTTCGCGTGAAGGATTTGGAAGCGTTCACATCTGATGTGTTGTCGGGTTATTAATGCTGTTCGTGTACTGTTACTCTGGACAGAGAGGAGAAATCCTTTATTTTGTTCTTCCCCTTCTTTGCCTGCAGTATCTGTGATTCGAGTGCAGTCTGACCACTATCCCCAGTTGTCTTGCATGATTAATTACAGCATCTGTCCTGTCAGAAGCTATAATGAAGAGGTCTTGATAAAAATTGCAAATTACCACTGGCAACAATCTTAAACTGCTTATGATAAAATGAAAATTAAAAACAGCAAGTGTCAAACCTGAGCCGAATCCTAATCCTGTTTGAGGCGGTGTCCATGGCTACCATGCTCAGACCAAAACTGAAAAATAATGGAATACAGATCCCCAAAAAGTTGGAGCCAGACTTGAGGGAAGACGTACTATACTGTGAGAGTTTATTAATAATGAATTCAGCTTTCAATATTTCATCATCCCCAGGTACTCTGTTTATTATGTACAAATATTGAATGACAAGAGATTCTAATTATAAATTTATAGATTTCTTGGAGCAGAAAAAATCATGTATAAATTGAAGCCTTTCGTAATAGGTGTTAGTTGACAGCTACCCATGCATCTAATAGCCTTAGTATGATATCTGGTAATGTCTGGGATGGAAGATGTTTATTCCAAGCTCCACGAAGCCTGCATTGGAAAAGGCACAGCAGAGGCTGATTGAGAGAGATTTTTGTGAGTGTCGGTTTTAACCAATGTTACATAACAAAGGGAACCATTTTATAGTCATTTTGAAACCTTTAGACAAATGTCTTCAGCAATAATTGCTAAACTGCATGTGACAGTAATTGTGTATTAGTTCTATAATTGTCATTTTGAAGACCTATGAAGTATCGTTGGAAAAATGTCACTAGTGATAAGAGTTAATTACAACTGAAGTCTGTTTTCAACTATTTGCAGCGAGAAGCAGGTGTTATTACACTCATTAAATGATTTCATAAATCCTGGGTTTTATCACATTTGATTAAGAGCTCCTGAACTACCGATGGTCAATTCCAGGAAAAATAGTTTTAATTACTGCAGCTAAAAAAAAAGTCAAGCAGGACTGTATGTTTTAAATACCAAAATTTGAATCTTGAAAACTGGAGCATCCCCCTGCTTGCTACAAAATTGTATTTTACATTACCCACAATAGCATATTGCAGAACATCTTGTGTTTCAAACTGTGCAAGTTGGTGTTCATATGCAGGTCATAAATAAAACTGTTAATTTAAATTGCTTAATATGCAATTTATACAGGAAAAATGCAGTATCCGTATGATTTTGGTGTCATGCATGGTTTAAAGAATGTTTTCTTTCATATCGTTTACAAGCACTTAACTGCTCCCTTCTTTTCCCAAGGTTTCAGATGCTTTATCACCCCGGTTAACCACATTCTACTTTCACATTAACCCAGGTTGACACATGATGAAAGAACATAAGGAGGTTTAATTTTTAGCTGACACAGGGTCATTAGTTTCTAACTTGGAGAACAAAGCCTTTAAATACCTCTATGCAACATAATCTCAATTTTATACTATCACCTGACCGTTGTGGGCTGCAGGACAGATGGATTAAATATCTCAAGTTTAACCAGAAGTCTTGCACTGCCTCTTTTCAATGGGGACTGGCTATTTGAATGGCTTCTTTTCCATTTCTCACTTCATGGAGTATTTTGCAGCACTGGACTTCATTCTAACCTTTCCCTCCCCCCTTTGTTTGGCTTTTGTTTTGCAACAGCTGTTATTATCGTTTTTGGTCAGCTGTGATTGCTGGAGGCAAAATAGGACCAGATGGTGTTTTGCTATGCATGAATGGCGAGTTAGAGGAGTTTAGATTGAATAGGCCAAGTTTGAATGGTGTCTATGCACCACCTGCCCTCTTCAGCAGCAGCACACACATCATAGGAGCATGATCTGCCTCAGCCCTACTAGAATTGGATGGGAATGGAGAGAGCCTCGTTGGATTTTCTCCATATTTATTGATCTTCCATGCACTAACAGCATAATGCAGTACACAGTCAATTTGAGTTAATTGGATATGACACAGCATGTACATGTAATCTATCACCGTAGTCTCCTGGTACACTTTAGGTTTTGCTGCCACAGGACCATGCAGTGTTAGCCTGCATTAACGGGCTAAGTGGATGGAAGTAAAATGGGATTGTTGTAGGGCTTGATCTGACAAAATACAGTGTAGTTTTAAAATGATACCCTTGAAACTGCCAGAGATGCAGTTTGATGTGAACCCTTCGGATTTGATAGGCTGGACTGAGTATTTTGGCACAGAACAAGATATACCTCATTCCCATACTTTTCTGTGGGGTTTGCCAGTGGAATTGAAAGGAACAGTTGACTAAAAGCAGGGAGCAGTGTCGGTAGTCGTGAGCCGGGGCCGTTCAGAAAGGGGCTGCGTTGCTGTGGAGGAATCTGCTTGGTAGCAGAGGGGGCATTATACCAAGCAAATTCTGATGATCAGCCCCTAAAACACAGAAATTAAAACTAAGCATCCAGATTGGGTTTCAAGTAGCAAAGGGCTGCTTTGTGTCCTGAAACTGGCCATAGAGGTAGTACTTTAAGTGCAATGTTAATTTAAGATGCGTTGTATCCTCCATTAAGGTTCACTGAAAGATATCAGGTGTGTAAGAGCTATCTTAGGGAATAAAATGCAAATGTTAAAAATAATGATTAAAATAAGTAACAATAACATATCATGCATACATATACTTGAATTGTTACAGCAACTGGATGTTTAAATGTCTACTTACGTATGTAACTGGGGGTTGTGATCATGCTCTGCCTAAGTTGGCAGGAGCTGCTTACTCGGTGCCTTTGTCTGTGGTGTCAGGTAGCAGAGTGAGCTACTTTATTATGAAAATTGCATTCAACTGAAAAAATGCTAAATATTTTCAAGTGCCTGTGGGAAAAGCTAGGTTTGTATTAAAGGATTTGGTTCTTAAAGTCACCAAGAAGTTAATACTTCTCAGGTGCATCTGAGGGAGAGAATTTTCGATTATAATACTAAAATATTTCGGAAGAGAATGTATTGCTTTGAATGAGCTCCTCTGACACTTCAATAGGCTATGCTGGAGATTTATAATGCACTCTGTTTACCTCAGTTAAAAAGTGGAAGTGGTATTTTAAGTGGTGGGTTTTGTCCAAGCTCTTGGAGCATTAACAACTTCAGCGCCTACAGAAGCCAATGTAGTGCAGAGTTCTCTTACAAAGTTTGAAATGGAATTTGTTTTAATCTTCTGCATAAAATAAGTCCAACAGACAACCATGCTTGATGTGGTGTAGTTATATAGGCACTTCTTACAGGTATCGTTTATTCTCTTTGCCCCCCCGGGAATATCTTTATTGATACAGACACCTTTGGTCTGTTATTTTCTCCAAACTGGAGCTGTTACATTACTTTAACTGTGCTACTCTAATTGAAACAGAAAGGCTTTGATCCAGCAAATCACTTAAAATGAGTGGATAATTCATGTATATAAGTAGTAATTTCATTAAACTGGCTACTCATATACTCCATTTTACAGTTGCTCAAGTGCTTTCATAGATCAGGGGTCTAACTGCAAAATATTTTATTTGTTTTCGAAACAATTCCAAGTAGCTATGTTAGGAACAATCAGAACCTAAAAGTAACATAACCTAACGCACATTTTCAGCATTTTCCTTTATTAAATTCTATTCTAAACAAGTCACAGGTCTGATTTTCAAGTACAAGGCTCTAACCTTTGTGCTGTTCAGTGACTGTGTATCATCGTAAATGTGTAAAGAATTAACTGCCTGACTGGTGGTTTGTATACTCACTCATTCAGATGGGTTTCTACTGTGCACAGGTCTGAAAACCTGTACCTGGCTCAGCAGTCATAGCCCTTGCCTAAGCAGATGTCTTGACCAAACACGGGTATTTACAAAACAGAGAAGTAAATGCAGGCAAACAAGGCATCATTATACCTGCTGGCAATATTAACTAAACCTAAAGGGTATAGTTGCTGCAGACTGGTTTATCTTTAGTTCTGTATCCCATAGTGTACTGATAGCAAAGATATATATTGCATTAGCATGAAGTACATAAAAAATCCCATGTGTTACGCTTTTCTCACTGGTGGCTTCAGGTGCTTAATTTTGGAACTGGTTTTGGTGTTCCACGAATCATGAAAATTGACCATACAGCATGGATATTTAAAAAATAATAAGTAGCTGTACCACTACTTTTTTTTTTTCCTGTTCCTGATTCTGGAATTGCTGGATATTTAGCATCTGGAAATCAAAGCTCACTCTTGCAAAATCTGCTGTATCAGCTGTTGATCGGTGGATTCTCACTGCTGCACTGCTGTGTATATGTGAGGATAAACTGAATGTAGTGAGCAATCTGCATGGGATTCTCACTGCTGCACTGCTGTGTATGTGTATATGTGAGGATAAACTGATCGTAGTGAGCAATCTACACGTGTGTTCCAGCCT